GGACAATTATTGATCTTTTTTATTTGTGTGTATGTGTGTGTTGGGGGGGGGGGCATTTATCTATTTGATTTCAATGAACATTCTAAATGAATAAGAAAAACAATATGCAGCTGTTTTTGAGTATAACAAAAGCAGTCTCCCCCCCCCCCCATGATGTAAGACAAATAATTTTTCACATGTTTTTATACAGTCCTGGGGAGTGTTTCATGAAGGGTCTTGTCAGTGATTTTCAGTGACAACTGTTATAAGCTACTGAAATCCATGCATCTGATTGGCTGAGAGCAACTTTGTTAGTGAAAATCACTGACAAGACTCTTCATAAAATGCTCCCCTTTACTTTCGATAAACTGCATACATGCAATCCTACAGAATGAAGGCACACATTTTGTCTTCTAGGCAATTCCACTGGTTGGTCCAAAATAGTGAATGTGAGTAACCAACTTCTGAAGTTTTGAAGCTGCATTTACTACTCTAATATATACATGTATGTGCAGTGTTGTGAATAAAACTCATTTACCTTTAAACACCTATAGTCAGAGAACAGGAGATTAAGAGGTTACTCAATATCTCTCTAAATGTAACGTGAGTAACCATGGAATTGCCCTTCTGTAGTTTGGACAAAGGAAGTTAAAATAACGACAGTAGTTTGATGAAAATGATTCATTGATTCAGTACGTACCTGAACTTGATGTTGTTTTGTCGGCTGGGTTAATACAGTAGGTATGGTCAAAGGAAACGCACAATTTCTTGGTAGCACTAACAGCGTTTGGTGTACAGGGAAGGCGTTTCAGAGGTCGCCTGGGCTTCAGAACACTGCGATGGCAGAATATGGTTGGTACTGCCTGCCACTTCAGTTTTTTCTTCCCATCTGCTCTTCCATTTTCAAATTGTGATTCATCGAAGTGAATCTGCAGAAAAGAAGATACAATTTTGTTAATTCTAATTACTCCCTGGTCCTAAATGTAGGTAGTGCTATATATTTCAACAAATGTCACTGCATCTTGTCACCCCCCCCCCCCCCCCTTCACATCACTAGGTCAGTTGGGAGAATATTAAAGTTGAACTTCTCATTGTCTGAAATTTAATAATTTTTCATCGACATACACATGCTGATTACTCTAATACAAAATCCCCTAATCTACTTTAACTAACTACACTTAGTGACACTGACAAATACAGAATCTCTGATGAAATCTCCAGTGGTGCTATGTTGGGTCTCAAGAAAGAGATTTGATCATATATGAACAAGGGCTAGTGTCGGAATTCAGGAGAGCAGTTTTCTCTCGTCCTCCTTTGGAGGGCATACTTTGTATGACTGAATCTCTTTGTTGAGACCCAGACATTAGCACCAATGCCTAGATTTTATCAGACATCTCACTATTCCACATCAAATAGTTTTGATTCTGTTGCATCACCAACAGCACATGCGGATACGCTAAAAAGCCACCATTTTCAAATGTGAATTACAAACGGAACCATGAAGACCGAAACATCTTTGTTGTTTAAAAAATTCTGAAACTCATTTTTTTGCCTAAATTACTTTTTTTGACATTTTTTTTGGTAAAAAAACTGGGTCAAAATGAAAATGTGATAGGCAGATTCTTCATGAAAAATTACACCTGATGGTATACTTTTGTTTTCATAACATTTTTTGTCATGATCCCCACATCAAATGATTTTAGGGAGGAAAAAATTTGGCTGAGAAAAAGGGCCTTATTGTTGGTGTTGACTTGTTTTTATTGTCCTCTTGTTCAGTCTCCCAAATCGGCCGTGCCCCTCTACTGCCAGTCTAGCGTTAACAATTAAGTTAGATCATAAGACTGGAGTGAAAGGATATTCATTTCTTTTTAAATTTCACTTTCAACTCTACTGCCAGTCTAACGTTAACAATCAAGTTAAGTTAGCTCATAAGACTGGAGTGAGAGGATATTTTTTTTTAATTTCACTTTCAACTCTGAAACTTCAAATTTGTACTCTGTCTTAGACCAGTTCAAGAAGTTGTCAAGAGACCCTGAATCAGGTTACCTAGCAATTTCTTTAATTAAATCTTGGTTAGAGTGATTTTGTGTCTGTTTTAAAAGAGTGCAGCAGACACGTTTCAGTGACAGTGGCCAGTAGTCAGTACAGTGGCAGTGGCAGTGCAAGAACCCAGAAATTCGAATCCACTCTCAAGCTTTTTAACAATAACATCTGAATTCTTGCTATTATTCACCATTCATGTGTTTATACATTCTAAGACTAAAAGTCGGTTGTTCTTTAAGGTTTAATAAACATTCTGTTCAGTTCTGGTTGAATTCTGTAGACCAATTCAGACAGAAGAAAGGCATGCCTATTATTCTGCAAGTTCAAGTTTACATACATAACCTATAGGCCTACACCGATATTAATACATGGGACCGATATGGCACTTCTTACCTCGCACAAACAAGATGAAGAAGTTGGTTTCCACCCCACTCTGCTCACTTTGTTCTCCCATATTTTTCGTCTTTGTGGATCTGCGGGGAACCTGTACATCTTGTACCCCTTCTCCGATTTATTGCTGCACCCGAAGGCGCAACAACCCGTCATTTTGTCGTGTTCTTTAAATCACTGACTGTCAGCTCGAGCTCGTTTGATATCACGGTGGCGGTAAGCGCTGTGCGCTGCACTGCGCTGCGGAGTGAAACAAAATGGCGCCAGGAGTCACGTGACCATCAAATTCCGGTCCCCCTATGTCGCTACTCTCTATATATAGGTACTCTAGTCAGAACAAGTGTCACGCGCCCCCTCGCGCCGTGATTTATGACCACGAATGCTTCATGATTCAGCCGCGGACCAAAATAACACATTTTTCGGGGCAATGTTGCAAGGAAAACGGCTCTAACATAACAACGTGCAAGATCGGGTAGCCAAATTTGGTATCAACTTGAAGCTTAGACATCAAAGAAAATGGTGGTATTAAAATTTAAGCGGTACACCGCAGAGATCTAAACATTTCTTCTGGATTTATAAAAAACATGGATAATTAGTCCATTTTTCAGTGAATTACCCTATAATATATCATGAAGATTGTGTTTCTATTAATTTTAACCCATTCATTCAACGAAATGAACTATCAGGAATATGTGAGAGCAATTTCATATCAATAACTTAAAAAATTCATGTTGAATTGAAAGATTTATAAAATGAGTCACTTTTGCACTAAAACTGTGAATATGTAGGATTTTGCTGTTTGAAGTTGTAAATTTATACCCTTATTGTGCATACCGGAATTCAATATTTCACTGAGGTATTCCTCTATGTATTACCTTTCAACTGGGCAAGAAAAAAATTGAAAAAAATAAATCACCCAAACTTAGTTTTGGCGCACTTTGGTTCCTCCCTGGCCACTGTGCATCGGTCCCCCATGGTCCCCTTTTTCTTATGTTAATTGAGAGCTTATTTGATGAGATAACCACATGTCAGTTAACCATGGAGGAAGGTCAGATCCCTCCTGGCCAAACTAGAGCAGCGGGGCTTTAATCAAGGAAAGTTCGTTTTCAGTCCTGACCGATTTTCATTCCAATGTTTTGTTTTAAGGTTCTTACCTTGTTGAATTTCAACATGAGTCAATCGGGAGCAGGAGGATGGATGTTTTTTATTCCAATACCAGGCATTTCAAAGGTTCCCTTCGAAGTCATCAAGGCTATGACGTCGAATGCCAAGGAATTCTATGTCTTCATCGATGACCATATTGAAGCTCACCAAAAGAATGGAGGGCCCGATATCCCCAAAGATTTCATCGACCAGTATTTGATTAAGTTGAAAGAAATGAAGGTAAATATTGCAACGGACGCACCTGTAAATGTTCACAGGACGTTTTGCAAATGTATTGCGAACGTTATGTGTTTGCTGACTCGATTGAGGTCAATATATTCCCAGATCGTCTTTATAGATCTTTATCAGGACTTCAAATATATCGTGAAATATTTTAATTCCAGTTTGTAATGTTTCATTCGAGTATTTAAAGGACAATCCCATCCTATGAAATAGATTGCAAAATTCAGAGGCGCAGATTGGTGAAAATTTGACCGAAAAGTGTCCGACAAACAGCGATGAATTTATGAAAATGCATTACAATGGGTATATGCTGTTTGCTAATTCTGGATAACCCGTATACGTTTTTGAGTTCCTATGGAGTGTCTACGAATACAGGAGGTCAATTTTTTTCTTGATGAAAAGGCGAAATAGGGCCTATGCCGGAAATTTCTGACAAGCCCGCAGAATTAAAGATAATTATAAAAGAGGGAAATAGAGAGAGAGAGAGAGAGAGAGAGGGTGAGGAAGGGGGCGGGGGTACCAGCACCTCGAATGAGGTAACAAGAGCGTAATCTTTGAGCTGTGTCCAAAAGGTAGTTCACTAGGGTTGGGCAGGAGGGGGGAGGGGGCACTGGACGGATATGCCCCCTCCCGCAACCATTAGTTTAAAGATGAAGTTGAGTTCTGGTCATGCGATTGCATTGTGAAAGAAACGGTGTGGAACTGACCAGAAAAGGTTGATCATCTAGCATATAAGAATTTGTGTGTATTGCAAGGTTCTGGAATCATCAAAATGATAAGAAATTTGGCCAAGTCTTGGTAAAGTTACAAACACTGTACACAGAAAGATGTATATGGGACTACACGAACACGTGGCGTAAAAAGCCGCCCCCCCCCCCCCCGATTTTTACGATGTTACATGCATATTTAGAATATGAAGGCATTTGAAGAGCCATGCTTTTCAGGGAACATGTCTTATCTGATATTCTTCCACACTTGCATAATAAGAATGAGTAATGCTCACAAATTATTGTTTACCTCTTCCCAGAACTCAACCTTCTCTTTAAACAAAATACATAAAAGAAATGCGGTTGATGTAGAGAGTAACATATAATTTACATCATGAGGGCATCGTGTTTAAAGCAAAAATGTTTGTCCCTTTTGCTTGCCAGGGAACGGAATCTTCATTCAGCCACAGTAGTCTTAAAGCCGTCATCTCTGACCTCTTCTTCGCGGGGATGGAGACGACTACCACCACGCTCAAGTGGTTTATCCTCTACATGATGGCCTACCCCGAGGTCCAGTCACGTGTTCAAGCCGAGATGGATCAGGTGGTTGGAAGAGAGCGATTACCAGGGTTGGACGATCGACAGAATCTTCCTTACACGTGTGCTGTGCTTATGGAGGTCAGTGGTGTATTGGCTTTAGTTTGCAGGTACAAACCCTGGTCAGTCGTAAAAGAGAGGCTGCACTATAAGACTACCATATGTCATAGTTGCTCCCTATATTGACCCAACCAGTAGGTAGCTGGGCTAGGCTTCTCTCAAGGCACAATGATTTTTTGATAAAGTGTCAAATTAGGGTCTGTGCTTGCAGACTATATTTTGCCTTTGGAGAGGGAGAGATAATCCGACGAATATTTGTGGTTGACTGCGTGAGTGTATGTGTCTGTCTGTGTTTTGGAGAAATCCACAAAATGAATATCGTAGGGCGTTGGCGAAGATATTAATCGTGTGTGTTGCACTGAATGTTTTCAGATTATAGAATTCGCAAAATGATTTTAAATAAAAAATATTCATATCTAAATTTACCAATATCAGTGGCGGATGCAAAGCCATAACCATTAAAAAAAAAATATCAAAATTTAATTTCCACGTGAAACTTGGTTACTGTTTATTAGTTACACCAATTTAGAATTTTCTGTTGATGTCGTATTTGTCTAAAGGTCCAGCGCAAGGGGGCCGTGGTTGCAATGGGGGTGCCTCACATGGCTGCTGCTGACGTCACAATCAAAGGCTACACCATACCAAAGGGTACTATCATCTTTCCTAATATCTTAAATGTGTTGAACAACAAGAACTTCTGGGACGACTCTGACGCCTTCACACCTGAGAGGTTTCTGAGTGATGATGGGACGTTGATCAAGAGAGAAGAGCTGATATTTTTCAGTACTGGTGAGCGCAATGGGTGGTAATCCCACCGCTGCCACCACTATAAATATAGGGTGGTATTCTGGAAAGCGGACTAACTTTAGTCCATGGTTTAATCCTCCGACTAAATAAGGAATGCCAAGTGTCCATATGAATATATTTTGAATAATTTGATATGTCCCCAAATTACTATGATAACATAATTATACCATAGTTATATTGTTGTTTATTACTTATGTTATTACATTTTATTCTAATTTAGTGACAGATTAAATTATTCAAAAACATATTCATCTGGACACTTTATTCCATACCTTGTCGGTGGATTCAACCATGGACTAAAGTTAGTCCGCTTTTGAGAATACCACCCAATATCTTTTATAATGGGCCTAATTATGAACATGTCATTGTGTGTCACCGGAAATATTTGAATAAAAGTACGATATACATAATTATACAGGACGTCAGAGGTGCTGGGTGTTGTATAATTCATAAGTTGTATAATCTTCTATTATTAAATTTGGGCTGCGAGATGGTGTTTATTTTATTTTCTTATGTACCTCGAATCATTTTTTGTGATTCTCGCTTGCTCGCCAAATTTTCGAAACTGGAGATTTCATATTCCGGCCAGAAATTCGGGGCCCTGTCGACATTGCGCTCTCTACGTCTTCATGGAAAGTAGAACTACATTTTCTTCAATGCTGAACCGATGATCGTCATGATAATTTCCTTTTACCTTATTGATAACCCTTAGCTAATTTTGTCAATGCATTCCTATCTCGTTACTGCCCACTGTTATACAATTTCCACACAACTGCGCCAGGAGTGTCATTTTTGACAGACATGGCGCGTAATATGTTCACTATCATTATTGTTATTATTATTTCTAAAATTCTATTTTGTATTTTTTTTTCAGGTCGCCGTGTTTGTCTCGGAGAGCAACTAGCCCGGATGGAGACGTTCCTTGGTTTTACCAGCCTCCTTCACCGATTCACATTCAAGAAGCCAGACAACTCACCACCATTGTCCTTTAAGGCAGTCCTGGGAGGTACAAGAAGTAGCTTACCCTACCTCACCTGCGCTATTCCAAGGGATTCCACTGAAAATGGTGCTTGATTGATTTGTATTAGTTTGCAGGCACAAATCCTAGTCAGTCGTAAAAGAGAGTATGCACTATACGACTACCATAGACCATGTAATATAGCTGTTCCTGACACCTACATTGACACAACCAGGTAGCTAGGCTAGGTTTCTCTCAAGGCACAATGATTTTTTGATAAAGTGTCAAATTAGGGTCTGTGCTTGCAGACTAGATTTGCATTGCTTTTATTTTTTCTTACAGCCCCATGCACTGTACTACTTGTAGCTACTTGCTTCCCTCTATATAGAAAACAATGCCTAAGCGGTGACCATTGGTCCCCCATGCATTACGAAAAGCTCTCGTTAAAACTATACCCCACCACTATAGCACAGCAGTCAATGTAATCTGGTGGGGTAGCACTACCCCAGATTCGTTTCTCTCGTTAAAACTTTGTAATCTGGTGGGGTAGCATGCAATACCCAGTTTCGTTTCTCTCGTTAAAACTTTGAGAGAGCTACTACTATTACACAGGCACCAATGGGAATCTGATGGGGTCTCACTACCCCACTTTCAATTCTCTCGTTAAAAACTTGGACAGAGCCTTGAGGCTCTGAGTGAGAGATTAAGATATTGGATTGCAGCTGGACTCTACATCATCTTACGTAATACTAGTGTAAACAAACTCTTACTGGGGTCTGCCTGAAAGGAAATGAGAAGTAGGAAATAAGTATTTTACTTGTTTTAAGATATTTTCATGTCCTAAAGTCACTAATAATTTAGATGAAGACCAAAATGAAAGTTCGAACGAAGCAAAATGACCCATAATTGGCGATATAACAACAATTTTAACTCTGGCAGCGAACCCCTGCATGTGTCTCTTTCTCCCTTCTCCCTTCCTTTCCCCTTGTACCATGCTTATCTCTCTCTCGCTATCACCTCATCAAGGTCTCGGTGGGGGTGGATTACAGCGCTAGTGTTTACTTAGGGCTTATCACAATCTCAGCTCTAGTACAAGTAGAAATGGTGAAAGTCAAATGGGGGTTTCAATTTTAAACGACGAGTTTTCGTCATGATACTCTTTTTCTCATGTTAATGAGAGCTGAGTTGATGGGCTAGCCACCTGTCAGTGACCAAGCTGAGTGGTCTAATCCCTCCTGGCCAAACTAGACAGACGGGCTTTAAAGTACAAAATGCCTTTATGCGTTCCAAACGGTAAAACTCAATTAGTGGTATTTTGTTTTTGAAGATCATCGCTTCCTTCGAGAAAAGTGTTTGACCTTTCTCTGTAGATCATTTTTCCACCAATCCGAGGAATCCATCACAAGGGATTATCAAAGGGACCCACGGCGTGAAGTCCTTTATGAGGGACTGTGAACATAGTTGATCTAATTAAAGAAAAACTTCAGTTCTGGTTTTTAAAAAAAGAATTCTCACAGGATCAAATGAAACTTATACTGAATGTTGAAGATTACAAATAAATGTAATTTGCCAAACAATTTTCAATTGGTAGAAAATGTTTACTGGCTAAGTAATAAACATAGAGAGATAAGATTTCAAGGTAATAGTAAGCCCGACACCATTTTGTGTAGTCCCGTATACATCTTTCTGCGTACAGTGCTTGTTATTTTACCAAGACTGGGCCAAATTTATTATGATTGTGATGACTCCAGAACCTTGCAGTACACACCAATACTCACATGCTACATGATCAAATTGTTCTGATCCATTCCAAACCTTTCCTTTTAAAATGTAATCGCATGACCAGAACTCAACTTTATCTTTAACTTCATGGACACAAGTGTAGTATAAGTTAAATCTTGAAATATAACACACCTCTGAAATCAGAACGGAAATCACATTTTAAAAGAGCAACCTTTTCTTTTCGCAACATAACGTTATTTTGTATCAATATATCTATTCGATTTCAGTGTTGGTATACATTAAGAAGACGCAAATTAAAGATACACTGTAGCTCATAAAGTTGGAATATTTTTATTTTACCCCAATTTATGGAATTATTTTTAAAAAAAACAGAAAATGCAATAAATTTTCAATAATTTTTTGCATTTTACCCCGGTCTCCAACATAAACAAATCCTCTGGACAGCCGTGCATTATGGCTCAAGGCATGGAAACACATACGATTTGTTTATGTTGGGAACAAAGGTAAAATGCAATAAATTATTGAAAACTTATTGCATTTTCTTTGTTTTTTATTTTATTTATGGAAACTGCCCCCTACCCTAGCCCCCGCTGCGTACAGTCATGATTCAGTGACAAAGCAATGGCCTCGTATCTGTGAGGCCCCAGGATCAAAACCGTGTCGATGTGCTATATTAGTACCCTTTTGTGGAGCATTAATTCCCATTACTGTCATTTATGACTTAAGGGCGTAGGTCCCCTAGTTGATAAGCATAGTAGCATTCGAAAACTAATAGTCGTTATTTTTCCACATAAAGACATTTTCAAGCCCCCCCCCCCTTTTTTTTTTAGGGAAGTTCTAAATTAGTATTATCTTTTAAATGCCGTTTGAATTTAACCTTTTCATTGTTGAGGCCTGCAAATGGGACATAGTACCTTTAAAGGCTCGTTTTTTCGCAACATTATGTTTTATTGTTTCGATATATATATATTTAATGTCAGTGTTTGTATAAATGGAGAAGACACAACGGCTCTTTCAGCTATATTTTTGTTAACAACGTTCAAATCTACATGCAACAAAGGTCCTTTACGAATTCACTGAGCTATCTATTATATAACAAAGCGTACTTGTAGTACATTTATGTCATCATAAAAATAAAATTGCCGAGGTTAACGGCGATCTTACTGGACGATCGAGGCTTACTACGATCCTAATTATAATTGCTCAAGAACAGTCATAGTTTCGTATGTTAAATCAGAGAGTAATTAAGTGCACGTACTAAAAGTCTAATGATAATATATTCTACACAAAATAAGGTATAATTAATATTTCTGTCTACTCCAGAATCTGGCCTATTTAATTTTGATCTCCACCGCACCAACGCTACCTCCCCTTACTTAGGCCAAATTAAAAAAAAAAACATGTTTAGCGTCCTGTTCTTTCAAAAAGTAGGAAGGAGGAGGGCCCTTTTTTTTTTTCTTTCTTTCTTTCAAAATTGCAGGCACAAACCCTGGTCAGTCGTAAAAGAGAGTCTGCACTATAAGACTACCATAGGCGGTGTACAATAGCTGCTCATGATACAACCAGTGGGTAGCTGGGCTAGGCTTCTCTCAAGGCACAATAATTTTTTAATAATGTGTCAAATTATGGTCTGTGCTTGCAGACTTAAAGCCAAGGCTGGGCTGATGAGCGTAAATATAAGTTTGTTGATAACGCCATCTTCGGCGGCATGAATCAATACGTGTGTATACTGTATAGAATATAAAGAACCAGGCAGATTCTGGACTAATTACTGTCTAGCTTTGTCGGTGGCCTCGAAGAAATAATCAAGAGCTCTGTTCTATTAAATGGATCCATAACATACGACCAGCTGTGTGCTCTCTTTCTTTCATTAATTGTTTTTAAGCGTCTCTATGAATCACTCTCATAATTTTACATAATTACAAATATGGCATAATATTTAAAGAGTTTCTGAGAGCCATAGGCACAATAGCACATATATAAAGACGGATAAAGATACAGAGACAATAGAGAGAGAGAGAGAGAGTGAGAAAGGGTGGTAGAGACACACAGAGAGGAGATAAAAAGAGTATTAAGACAGGGAGAAGGACGGAGAGGAAGACAGGGAGAAGGACGGAGAGGAAAAGAGAGGTACAGAGCGAGAGAGATGGGGTAGAGACAGACAGAGAGAAGAGAAAAGAGAAAGGGGAAAAAGAACGGAGAGTGAGAGAGTGAGAGAGGGAGAGAGGGAGAGAGAGACAAAAACAGAGGGATTGGGACAGACAGAGAGCAGAGAAAGAGAGGGAAAAGGACGGAGAGGATGATAGAGGGAGAGAGAGAGAGAGGGTTATGGACAGACAGAGAGGAGAGACAAGCAAAATTAGGGAGAGGGATGGAGAGGAAGAGAGAGTGAGAGAGAAATAAAGAAAGACTAAAAGAGACGGAGAGGAGGGGAGGGATAGGAACAAGTGGAGAGCGACAGACCCTATCTTACTCAGCTTTTTCATTTTTTTAGTTAATTGTTTTTTATCATATATTTGTATACACTGTAGTCTGATTTTCTTGTTTTTCTCTCTCCTTTTGGTCTTGTCTCACTTTTTCTTGCTCTCTCTCTCTCTCTCTCTCTCTTTCTCTTTATTTCTCTCCTTCATTGTAATACTACGATATATCAATAGATTTGTAAGACAGATTATTTTACTTATCAGTTAAACTCCATGCAATTTTTAATAAATAACTTTTCAATTCGATTCAAATCAATAAATTGTCTTTTTCAAAAGATGTTCAATGTTTAAAGCAATGTGTGATTTTCACTCATCAAATCAATGATGAAAACAAAAAATCGACTAATTTGTGACAAAAGCAAAAAAAAAAATCTCACATGAATAACACTTTTATTACATTCCATCACATGCATGTTATATTAATCAAATATTTGTTTCATGCAATAATAAAATTAGAAGACAAATTTGTCTTTGACACATTCACACCATTTTAAATGCATTTTGAGCTCTTTGTACATGTAACACTTGAACAAAAGAAAATCACACGATACATTTGGAGGAATACAATTTAAGGCAGTTGCACATCACAATCATTAAACAAAACAGTCATCAAACAAATCAATCATCAAACAAACTTAAATAATAATCGAACAAAACAATCCTCAAACAGAACAATCCTCAAACAAAATAATCATCAAACCAAAACAATTTATCAAACAAAATAATCATAAAACAAAACAATTAACAAACGTTATCAAACACAACAATAATCAAACATAACAATCAATAAACGAAACAGTTATCACAACTCTCAAAAATTCATAATATTTTATTTTGTTCTGAGTATTCGTTCAAACTTTCCACAGTCTGCTGTGATTTTTCTTCCTAGTTTTAGAATTGTTTGCTAATAGGTTTTAAAAAATGCCTGTTAATTGGTGTTCACCTACTACCTTCACCCCTAATTGTTACGCCCTGATCTGTTAAAGGTAAAGACCAGTTATGGTCATGCGATTGCATTGTGAAAGAAACGTTGTGGAATCGATCAGAAAAGGTTGATCATCTAGCATCTAGCATCTGCA